GGCATCTAGGAAGCTTGAAGTCATTATCCCCCAGGCATTTTAACAGGAGGTATAGAGAAAAGAGACGTGTTTAAAAAGATCTTTGGATGTGGCCTCTGCTTAGTGAAGTGAAAGCAGTGAATTCATACAAGATGCTCAAAGTTCTTGAGAGAAGTATTTTAGCAGAAATCCTGCCAGCCTGGACTGAAAAAGGGACAGAGTACAACATGATCAGAGACTCTTGGGCCCCCAAAACTCCACTGGGGGAAGTGGGTTGGTAAAACTACTCAGTTGTAATCACGTTACCTTTTATAAAAAAGGAAGGAGGATGAAAAGGGGGTAACTTCATGCCAAGAAGACACAAGGGTCCGGAGGACTCTTCCCAGGTCTTGAAACTGAATCCAGAAAAAGCAAATATTTACGTGGCTAGATTTCATAAGTGTTATGGACCAGTGGCTCCTTCTGACCTTCACGTCCCCCCTTCTGAGACGGAAAGTCTGCGGCCGTAATCACATGCTTTCCCACCACGGTGTGCTGGCCGTGTGAGGGTGGGTAACCTGCCCTCTGGCTTTGCAGGCCTGCGGGGGGTGAGGAGCTGTGCCCTGGCCACAGCACCTGCTGGAGGGCTCCCAGGAGCCGCCTCTGGACCTGGACCTGACTTAGATTTTGGATTTTCAGCTGATGAGATTTAGATTCAGATGATGAAATTTTGGTTTTGGAACTCATACTGTAATGAGATAAGGCTCGGGAACTTGGGGAGGGAGGCGAATGTATTTTTCATGTGGAAGGGGGTATAACTACTGCAGGCCAAGAGGGGGCTACGGCAGGCAGAATGGGATGAGAGGCCCAAGTATCCTGCCTGTAGCAAACATGCTCTGTGTGGTCTCATCCCCTTGAGTGAAGGCAGGGGCTGGAATATGATGGGATACGACTCCACTGAAGAAATGTTGTGGATGTAATTAATATCCTAGATCAGATGACTTCTGAGTTAAGAGATGGGGGATTATCCTGGGTCAACTTGACCTAATCAAGTAAGCTCTTAAAAAAGATAAGGATTAGCCACAGGCACTCTCCTGCTGGCCTTCAAGAAGCACACTGTCCTTTAGTGGAGAGGGACACATGGCAGGAAGCAGGAAGTGGCCTTTTAGAGCTGAGGCCCTCAATTCTGCGGCCCCAGGGAATTGGACTCAGCCAAAAACAGGGAGCTTAGAGGACCTCGAGTCTCAGATGAGGTCACAGCCAAGGTTGAACCTTGACTGCAGCCTTGGGAGACCCTGAGCAGAGAATCAAGTCAAGCTATGCCCCAAATCTGACCTACAGAAACTGTAAGATAAAATATTTAATGTTTTAAGTTGCTACATTATAAAAGCTTCAAATTAGTTATTAAAAATATATTCAAAGAGTTTTTTAAAAATTATGTTCAAAGAACTAAAGGAAAATATGCTAACAATGGGTTAATACAGAGGAAATCTCAACACAGAAATGGACACTACAGAAAAGAACCAAATGGATATTCAGAGATGAGAAATATAATAATAATAACATCAACAAAAAGACTATATAACCTCAGCTGCAGGTTTGAGATGGCAGAAGAAATCAAATGAACTTATCAGGGGAGCCTACATAGTTCAGCCAGTTGAGTGTCTGACTTTGGCTCAGATCATGATCTCGCTGTTTGTGGGCTCAAGCCCCACGATGGGCTCGGTGCTGACAGCTCAGAGCCTGGAGCCTGCTTCAGATTCTGTGTCTCCCTCTCTTAAAAATGAATAAATGTTAAAAAAAATAAAAATAAAGACAGATTATCAGACATTATCCAATTTGAAGAATAGAAGGGCAGAAGAAATATTTGAAGAAATAATGACTAACATCTTCCCATACTGATTTTAAGAGCATTACATTCCGAAAGGCTCCAATGAATCCCAAGTGTTATAAACACAGACCATATCTAGATGTATCTTAAACCGTTGAAAGCCAAGAAAGAGAAAATATTAAAAGAAGCAAAAGAAAAACGGGTCATCACAGACAGGTAACCAAATGATTACCAGATGACCTCTCATTCAAAACAAAGGCAACACTAAGGTGATATAATCTGAAACTCACCGTGATGAAGAGTGGGGTGGGGAACCCTGTCAGTGGGCATTCTATATCCAACCAAACTATCCTCTGAAAAATTAAAGATAGAATAGAAACATCCCCCAAATAAATAAAATCTGAGCTTTTGTTGCTAACAGATCCAACCTAGATAAAATACCAAAGAAAGTCTTTACACTGAAAGAAAATGATTCCAGAGGGTGCTCAGATTCACAGCAAGTAATGAACAGCATGGAAAATGATACTTATGTGATAAATATAAGAGACTGTGTATATGTATACACATATTTCTCTTCATACTCTTTAGAGTAATAATTAAAATAATTTAAAGTCATAATTATACCATTCTATTGAATTTATAATATAATATTAATATAATTTGTATGTCCACAATAGCACAGAGGAGAGGGTAGGAATGCAGCTACACCGATACAAATTTGCTAAATTTTACTGGAATTAACTCAATACTATGCTGAAGATGGTGATAAATTCAGGAAGCATGCTATAATCCCTAGAGTAACCACTAAAAGTGTAACTAAAAAAAACAGCTAAGAAATCAACACGCTTGGGGCGCCTAGGCAGCTCGGTTGGCTAAGCATCCAACTCTTGATCTCAGCTCAGGTCTTGATTTCAGGGTCGTGAGCTCAAGCCCTGCATTGGACTCTGCACGGGGTGTGAAGCCTGCTTTTAAAAAAAAAGAAAGAAAGAAAAAAAGAAAGAAAAGAAATCAACACTCTTAAGGGCATTCCTATCCCCATTATGTAGATGAGGAAATAAGTCCTGGGAGGTGAAATGACCTACAGAGTTAGGCTGGCCCTCAGGACCCCACACTCAGCACGCCAGGACTCAGAGCCAATTCACACCTTCCAGTGGGTCAGATGAAGACACCAGGCTGATTCCTCATCCATCAGTGAAGGGAAATTTCCTCAAAATATTCCTCAAAATAAATTACCTCCCAGTCTGTAAAAATACTTCCCTTGGCGTCCTAAAAAAATATTATTTTTATTAGTTTTCTACCCTAAAAATTACCGCATATAAGTAGATAGCAGGGGGAAGAGGGATGGCTTCTCAAGCCAAACGAGTTGGTGGCAGTGCCCAGCGAGCGCACACAAAAATACACGTCGTGGCACCCTTGCACTTTATTTTTTTTAATGTTTATTTATTTGAAAGAGAGAGAGAAAGAGAGACAGAGTGTGAGGGGGAGAGGGGCAGGGAGAGAAAGGGAGATACAGAATCGGAAGGAGGCTCCCGGCTCTGAGCTGCCACCACAGAGCCTAACCCAAAGCTCAAACTCACAAACCATGAGATCATGATCTGAGCCAAAGTCAGGCACTTAACCGACTGAGCCACCCAGGAGCCCACCGCTGCACTCTTTATGGATTTGGTCGGCATCCATTTATGTCTGCCTGAACCATCTTCCCATGCCCCTGCATGAAGCTCGGGCTGACATGCAAGAACAGTAAAATGTGCATAACATATGATTTCTCACTTTAACCATTTACGAGAGAAGTGAGCAGTGCTGGAAGGGGTTCATACCCTAGTCCTGCCTGCCAATGAGCTAGTTAATCCCATAAAGATAAAATCACTAAATTCTTTAATACTTATTTTTGAAGAAATGCCCGCTGATGTTTATTGTGCTTCACATTTTATAACACATTATTTATGAAACTAGAAATTTAATGAGCCTGTACTGCATGCCAGGGACTAAACTGAGTCCTCATCTGCTCTGTTATGTAATCCTCATAACTCCTCCCCAAGGCTAGCTTCTTTATTCTCATTTGACAGAAGAAGAAACTGAAGTTCAGAGTGGTTAAGAGGCATCGGATGGACACTTGCCAGGTCAGTTGGAGTTGTTCTGGGTGATTGTTAAACCAGATAGATCAGAGAAGGGAGGATGTTTTTAAAACAGCCTGAGGGGGTAGGGCATGTACCTTGAAATCAAGTACGCCTGTGTCTTCGTGCTCACATCTGACTGGTTACAAAAACAAATTTCTGCAGTGTCCTCATAGTTTCCTTTTAATGGCCACACTGATGTCCTCAGGTTAACAAGATCTCAGAGGTGGATCTGGACTAGTTCACAGATCAGAATTACAGACAGAGACAGCAGCAGGGGCTGCTCTGGCAAGGAACTGAACACGGGTTTAAGGACCACATCTTATTAATGAACAAATTTGAAAACCACGTTTCATAGAGCACATTAAATTTCCCCTGATGCTAATGTGTGATTAAAAAGTAAAATGACATAAATGCGTTTTAAAGCCACAGAGGTAATCACAGAAAGCAGCCAGCCACATCACAGCTAGGCACTGTCAGAAGGCCACAGTGTGCTGCGAGCTGACCGTGGCTTGGCAAGTCACAACCTACCTTTACGACTTCAGCTTTGGCGGGGTGCCTGGGTGGCTAAGTAGGTTAAGCATCCGTCCTCGGCTCAGGTCACAATCTCGCAGTTTGTTGGGCTCGGAGCTCAGAGCCTGGAGCCTGCTTTGGATTCTGTGCCTCCCCCTCTCTCTGCTCCTTTCCCACTCCCACTCTTTGTCTCTATCTCTCTCAAAAATAAATAAACGTTAAAAAAAATTTTTTTTAAAGACATTAGCTTTGGTTTAGTCCTCTTTAGCTAATACAAACATTCACTGGAATTTTGCCTATGATGGCAACACATAAGAAAATGGCATTCTTTATTTCAACAAACCTGGAATATCTCTACAGTGTGACAGAATCAGTACAATGTTCCTCGTGCCCATCTGTCTACACTGAGAAAAACCTAACCCCATGCTTGAGGTGTTACCAGTGTACGCAGAACACATTACAGGAGTCTGATCTCCACACACGCAAACATCTTCATGCCTGAGAACACCCTTGCAAACACCCAAAGAGAAGATTTACCTCTTAGCTAGGGGTTAACAGAAACACATGACAGTAGGACATACATCTTGATAGAAAAATATTTAAAGGTTTTAATTCTCTGAATGCCACGAGTTAACATTTTATGATCACCCTTTGAAAACAGGGCATTTGGGAGCAATTTGAAGGTTTCCAAATCAGTACAAAGCTGATTAAATCCAGAGTCACTTTCACAGATTGCAAAATGACTTCCTTAGAAAAGCAAGGCAGCCGGGGCCGGGGTGGGTCTGTCACCATACTCAGCTAAGTCTCTGTTGGGCACAGAGTCCACGGGCTCTGCCACTCTGTGAAGCTCCTTGGTACAGTGACGCTTTATTACATGTGTTCCTTGAAGAACCACTTCTGGTGTTCCGAGTTGGTACAGAGCCGTAGGAATGGTACGAAGCTGTCACTGAATGCCTTCTTCTCAGCCTGGACGCATTTGTTGGACTGTACGTGAAATAGGGAGCCATCCTACGAGAGAGAATACATACTGGCTGTTTAAGAGAAATACAAATTATTCCTCAGAAAGTATCTTTTTCCTTAAAATGTGTTAAGAGCTCAGATGATTTTTACTATTACAGAAATACTTACTGAGCACTACGTCTGCTCTGTGCTGAGGCACCCAGGGCCGCCTGTGCGTAGACAGGGCCAGGCGTGGACAAGCTCGTCAGGCTCGCCTCTCAGGGGAGCTCCTCACCAGGGTCCCTAGCTCCACCGGCAGGGCCAGTGGTGCCACCTGCTGGCTGCTCTGGGGATCTGCCAGACCCCACGTCTCCTCGCTACTGCTACTCTTCTTCAGAGAAATCAGGATCAAAGATCCTTTATTATGTCATTCACTTCCTTTAAGTCAACTTAATTCCAGCCCTGGCGACCTCCTTCTCTTACGTTTGCAGAATGCAGAATCAGGAAACTTGGCTGCAGCCCCAGCTCAGCCAGAGAACAGCTGGGCGGGGGGACAAGTCACCTGAGGACACGGGTTCTGCGGGACTGTGCCAATTGCCCCATCCCCCAAAGATCATGGTCCTCTTTAATGCCTTCCCCTTCTCTTCCTTTTCCCAACTGTTCTTGAGTTAGCTAAGCAAGCCTCTTCCCCCATCCTGGAGTTTGTTTTTTCTCTCCACCTCTCTGCTGTAAGCTTAAGTTCCCAGGGAACTTAATCATGGCTGAGCAAGTGACATACTTGTCACAGGGAAGGAGAAACCTTTAGGAATAAAATTATATGCAGAAGAATCTCAAAAATATTAACCCTGAAAACCCTTAAAAGAGCTCAAACGTTGCCTTCAGAGTACCATAAAAGGAAATCATTAAATATAGCATCCCTTTTCACACCTTTCTAAGGAAACTTACTTTTCTTTAATTGGTCACTGAAATTTAAGATAAAATTTTAATGACATTTCAAACCAATTTTATGATTTCTAGCTTGCATGACTATTCCTTGAGGGCTTACACAAAGTTAGAAGAAACGAGAGAAGGAGACAGGGGCTGGCAATGCAGAGAACCACAGACCAGGGGTTTGCAGAAGTCTCTTCCCTCTTATTTTTGATATCAGAGGGATAGCACCACGGTGCAGGCTTGTCCAGGTAGCCCGCAAATTTCACTGATAATCATATTTGCTACAGGAAAGTGTACTCCAACTTCTAATCGTGCTTAGAATTAACCCATTTATTACCAAATGAGACCACTCTTCCCATCCCTGGGGCCAGGCTGGAAATGAAAGCTTCCTATGAAGATAAAAGTGAACTCATTTCTTCTTTTGAATTATTTTCTTTGGATTTACTCCCTCGAGTGCTTTTTTTTTTTTTAGATTTGACAGATACACAAGCGGCATTACGGCCTGTTGCCAAGTGTGGCGGGGCTAGCGCCTTGCGGGCCTGAAATAATACCCAATTCCAAAGCAACATTCACTATTCAATGAGAGCCGGCTCCATCAGAGAGAGGTTTTCTTGGTGATTACCCTGCAGGCAACAACTGATCTTTCTAGAGATTTATGGTTTCCAAGGACTATTTCTGCTGTATATCTAATCTACACTAGAGGTAGACAGGTTGCTATTATTGCTCCCATTTTATAGCTGGGGAAAATGAGGCTTAACGAAATAGAGTAGCTTGCCCCTGGATCGAACCTCACATCCTCACACGTTAGCTATTGGTTTCACTCATTTAAAGCCCATTTCATCATTTGGGGCGCCTGGGTGGCTTAGTCGGTTAAGCGTCTGACTTTCACTTTGGTCATGATCTCGCGGTTCATGGGCTCGAGCCCCGCGTCGGGCTCTGTGCTGATGCCAGCTCGGAGCCTGAAGCCTGTTTCAGAGTCTGTGACTCCCTCTCTCTCTGACCCTCCCCTGCTCACGGTCTCTCTCTCTCTTAGAAATAAATAAAAATATTTAAAAATAAAATAAAATAAAATAAAGCCCATTTCATCTTCGAGTGTGTCCACGATAGCTCCTCACTCTAGGACTGTGGCTCACGGTCTAAGGAGACTGGAATGACCAGACAGGAGTCAAAGCACTCCTGATGCTGGGTGCTGGGCCCCCGACCATACTCTTGGGTCCATGGTGAACTCCTCGGTCTCCCATAGGTGGCCGCATCCCTGAGACCCTCGAGGACAGTGTCAGGGAGCATGCCTTACCTCCACTCTCCCCTCCGCAGCCTACGGACCGAGAACAAGGAGGGCAGCAGACTGTTCCCTTACCTCCCGCAAGATGAACTTCTGATTCTCGGGGGCAGTTTCCTGGCAGAGTTGCATGATGAGAATGTCCATTCCTGCGTCCACAGCGATGCAGGCCTCTGGCTGGTGAGTGTTATAGCGTATTTCATTCTGGGACGTGTACTCGAAAAACTAAAAACGGAGCAGCCAATCGTGCACCAGTTACTCTCAGATGTGGAAAGAGGGAGATGGCTGGACGAGAGCCCAGGGTGACTCGGATCTGGAAGAAACTCGAATCCCACCCGGTCATCTCTAGGTGTCAGACACTTCTTAGGGCAGGAAGGCTTTGAAGGTCCAAGGAACCAATATTTCCCTGTTCTCCGTCTCCTGCATCCTCCACGGGCCCGCCCTGGTGGTTTATCTGCCTCCGGGGCTGGGACCCTATTGCAATGCACAGACCTTCCCTTCCAGAACTTGCTCCCCTGCCCAGCCTGATGCTCAGCGCTTATCCCAGACACAAGTGCCCAGGCGGCCAGCCATTGCCCTAAACACGGCTTTACGTGACACTGTCCATCAAAACCTAGAATTCTCCTCAAGCATTCATTCTAAGGAAGTCATCCGACTCGCAGATCTGTTGCTTCCCCACCCCCCCTTTTTTTCTGACCAGAGATTAGTGGCAGGGTTACTTTACCATCACAAAAACAGGCAGGCAGGGGACCAGTTAACTAAAGGTAATACACCCACACAAAGGATTATCAAGAGGCCATTAGGAATGACATTCTCAAATTATGTCTAATAACACACAAAAAGTACGATGAAATAAGTGGAAAGAATGGAATATAAAGCGTATACACATTGTGATAATAACTATTTAAAACACATCATCCAAAGGCCTTGCAAAAGAAAGGAAGGAAATAACCACGTCTTAATTCTAATGGTGGCTGTTGGGTCCTGTCATTCACTTACTGCTTATATTTCCCAAATATTCTGCAAGAGCATATAGTACCCTTATAATGCAAAAAAAAATCAAATATTTATTTAAAAACAAAACAGAGATTTCCCCTCATTTCTCTCTTTAAAGACCCACACCAATGGTCCCTTGAGCATGCAGGCTCCTGCTGTCTGCTGTCTCTTGTCTCAAGAATGTCAAACTGCAGAGAAGGAGCACCTACCTGGTTCTGACCCAATCCATGGCAGTGGTAGAGAAGGACCTGGTGTCCCACGATTTGGTTTTCATTGGGAGGGTTATAGTCAAAGCAGTAATCCTTCAGTCCTTTGTTCTGGAGCTAAACAAAACATAAAGGTGGCACTTGCGTCCAGATTTATACACAATAGATCCCACTCAAGGCCCCGACGGTAATGACTCCATTGGAGAGGAGTCATTGAGTCAAGAACCGGACTCAATGGTTAAGAGCTCCTTAGATTGTTAGTTTTGCAAGTGCCTTCACATTCTATACCATAGGCAAGAATCATAACCCCCATTTCCAAAGATAAATGTGAGTTGCAGACAGACCAACTCTTTATGGTTGAAAGCTCTTATCTCTCTAGTTCTTATTGGTGCAGCCTTATTACTGCACTGGTCTGTGCAGTGCAGAGTTGGGTTGTTGCCTCACACCTGTACCAAGGACCCCTGTAAGTAGGCATCTGCAAAAGATGTTCCATGTGAGAGACTCACCATTTCCCAGATGAGAAGTCCACCATTCTAGACTACAGCAACAGCACAATACAGAGCCAATGACTAGCTCAAGGTCACGCAGTGGAGACGCCTGAGTCTGAATCCAGGAACTCAGACTCCAAGTCCAGTGCTCTCTCCATCGTTCAATGCTGCCTCATTTAATGTCATGTCTAAGGTACCTTTTAGATCTAAAGCCCTTCAATCATTCTAAGAGAAAAAACCATGCACCTATCTCCCTTTCAGGAGCCTCCAAGGAAAGACACACACCTTCCAAACCCCTTTCTGGAGAGTTCAAAGACCCCTCAACGAACTCTGTGTGTACCCTTCTTCTTCCCCGGCCCTTGTCTACCTTTGACTAGCCCGTTTCTGAAGATAAAACTCAGCCATATTGCAGGAAGTTTCCACAATCTAACCCACTAGCTCACAAAGCACAGACTTCCATGTTCCTGAAGTCCCTTTGCTTTGTGAAGAAATCTGGGAACAGGAGACACTTAGAATAGTCAGAGCATCTCAGATTTGGAAGGGCTCAAATGTCACCTAGCCAAGTAGTCCCCACACTTGACCACCAAAGGACAGTGACCTCAAATGAACTCCCTATGTTCAGAAAGATTTGAAAGAAACTGAAAAAACACTAAAAGAGAGGTGGGAGCCTCTACAAACTAAAACTGAGATAAACTAAGCTAGCTGAATCAAGTTGGTGAAACAGAAAGAAGAATGATATTAAGTGACTTTAGAACATTCCATAGTTTGTTTGTTTGTTTGTTTTTTTGGAACATTTCATGTTTGATTACATTTTCTTCGCGACCTATATTCTATAAACAAATAGAGCTGCAAAGAAATCTTAAATCTCATTCAGTATCACACTGTCAGTGGTAACAGTGTATTATTATTTTGAAACTACTTTAAATATCTTTTTTTTAATTCTCTTAAAGTTTATTATTTTTAAAAATCTTTTTTATTTATTTCTGAGAGAGAGAAAGAGAGGCAGTGTGAGCATGGGAGGGTGAGAGAGAGAGGGAAATATAGCATCTGAAGCAGGCTCCAGGCTCTGAGCTAGCTGTCAGCACAGAGCCTGACATGGGGTTTGAACCCACGAACCATTAGATCATGACCTAGGCCAAAGTCAGATGCTTAACCGACTGAGCCACCCAGGCACCCCTTAAATATCTTTTAAGACAAAGCAAATAAGTATATGTTAATATTTTTGAAACTAAGACTTTCTGTGTAAGAAAAAAGAAATACAAGTAATATCAAAGAAATTAATCTTTTGATAATTAATATCAAAGAAAAAAATATCCTGTAAGATTACATTTGAATTTAGATATCAGTATGGACTTATGATTTATTTCTCAAAAATATGCATTTCCTTTCTCTACCCACTGAAAAACTATGGCGCTGTGCATCCCACACGGTACCCACTGGCCACATGTGGCTACTGGCGACTTGAAACGTGACCAAGCCCAAATCAAGATATGCAGTGAATGTAAAATACACAGCAGATTTCAAGACAGTATGAGAAAAAGAGGTAATGCATCTCGATAAATTTTTACATTGACTACATGTTGAAATGATAATGCTGGGGATACACTGAATTAAATAAAATATATTATTAACTTTACTTGCTCCTTTTGAAAATATGGTTACTAGGGGCACCTGGGTGGCTCAGTTGGTTGAGTGTCCGACTTCAGCTCAGGTCACAATCTTGCGGTTTGTGGGTTTGAGCCCCATGTCAGGCTCTGTGCTGTCAGGTTGGAGCCTGGAGCCTGCTTCTGATCCTCTGTCCCCCTCTCTCTGCCCCTCTCATGCTTGTGCTCTCTTCCCAAAAATACATAAATAGAGTGCCTGGGTGGCTTAGTCAGTTATGTGTCCTGCTTCAGCTCAGGTCATGATCTCACAGTCTGTGAGGTCCATGGGTTTGAGCCCCGCATTGGGCTCTGTGCTGACAGCTCAGAGCCTGGAGCCTGGTTTGGATTCTGTGTCTCCCTCTCTCGCTGCTCCTCCCCTACTTGTGCTCTGTCTCTCTGTCTCTCAAAAATAAACATTAAATTTTTTTTAATAAATAAATAAACTTTAAAAATAAAGCAAAATATAGTAAGTAAGCAACATTTAATTACTTATGTGGCCAGCGTTACGTTTCTGGTATGGAGCATGATCTATATACAGAGACCACCGCTGGCATCTGGACTGTGGGATCTGGACAGTGCTCCCCACTGAAAAGCTCAGAGGCTCCAGGACGGATGGCAGCAAATGCAAAAGACAAGCATGGCCAGGATCAAGGGAGAAATCAGGCCACTACAAGGGGTCAAGATCACAGAAGCCAAAATAAAGAGGTTCTCACCAGCCAAAGATGGACAACCTGACTAGTTCAAAGAAAAAAACAACCAACAGACGAACGGCAGCACAGCGGCCACATAAAACCCCACTGCCTTACAGTGATGCTCAAGGAAAGAAAATGCCAAAAAGCAAATGAGCCAACAAACAAACAAAGCAACCCCATCAATACAACTGGAGGAACCTGAAGCACTAACTCTTACTCCGAAAACAGGCAAATAAAGAGAAGGACTTAAAATTTTGTTATGCCTTTTCTTTAAAAATTTTTAAGTATTTTATTTATTTCTGAGAGAGAGAGAGACAGCGTGAGCAGGGGAAGGTCAGAGAGAGAGGGAGACCCAGAATCTGAAACAGGCTCCAGGCTCTGAGCTGGCTGTCAGCACAGAGCTCGACGCGGGGCTCGAACCCACAAACCGCGAGATCATGACCTGAGCTGAAGTCGGACGCTTAACCAACTGAGCCACCCAGGCGCCCTTCTTTTTAAAAATTTTCTTAAGTTCATTTTTTTATTTTGATAGAGAAAGAGACTGAGCATGGGAGGGGCAGAGAGAGAAAGAGAGAGAGAGAGAGAGAGAGAGAGAGAATCCCAAGCAGGCTTCACACTATCAGTGCAGAGCCTGATGTGGGGTTCGATCTCATGAACTGGGAGATCATGACCTGAGCTGAAATCAAGGGTTGGATGCCTAACTGACTGAGTCACCCATGTGCCCCAAAATTTGTTATGCCTTCTCTGTATGAACTCTAAATTTCATGGATACCAAATGGTCCCAGTTTAACAAGGGAACATTCTTCTTTTACAAAAACATCTCAGCTAATAATGCAGAAGAAAGGAAAGGATTAGAAAAAGCACAATTTGACAGCCCCACTTGAAGTTTGGGTCTGTTGATGATAATTTTTTTTTTAATATTTTTATTTATTTCTCGGAGAGAGAGAGGGACAGCGTGAGCAGGGGAGGTCAGAGAGAGAGGGAGATGCAGACTCTGAAATAGGCTCCAGGCTCTGAGCTGGCAGTCAGCACAGAGCCCGACGCGGGGCTCGAACCCACGAACCGCGAGACCACGAACCGCGAGATCATGACCTAAGCGAAAGTCGGACGCTTAACCGACTAAGCCACCCAGGCGCCCCGGGTCTGTTGATGATTATTAACAGTTACAGAAATCGCGAGAGGAGGCTGATGTGGCCCCTGATGGTGGCCGGTCCCGGAGAGGCCCCATGGACCCGCTGATCAATCTCATTGCTAGAAGCAGGACAACTAGAGGTTAGGTGCTCTGCGTTGCTGAAGCAGGAGCAGAAAACAGACGTGTGAAGTATTCTTGCCATAAAAGGCTGATGAGTCCAATTCCACTCAGCCCTTTGGACCTCACTTCCATTTTAAGGACTATGGGTGAGGGAGGCACAATTTAAGAGACACCACGAGGACGCAGTTAGGTAATGCCAAGGGTAAAACGTGCAACTGGACAATGGGTGCTGTTTCTTTCAACAATATTAGCAAAAGTGGGGAGTGCGGAGGGAAGAGGTCTGCCTTAAATGAAGGAGATGCGGGAGGGAAGATGTGGCAGCCAACCACAATGTAAGACCTCATCTGGACCCTGGGGTTGGAATGAGCCAGTTACCCCAACAGAGGTGTGAAAAAGTAGGGGAATCTGGGTAAGGGCTAGATATTAAAGGGTACCAAGAAACTACTGCTCACTTGATGGGGTGTGATAATGGCCTGTGATTTTAGAAGACACCATCCATACAAATGTGCGTGTGGAAGCAAACAGGAGTGAAATGACAGGATGCCTGGGGTTTGCTTGAGTGAAGGGAAGTGTGAGAGGTTGGAGCAGAGGAGACAGAAAGCAACAGAGGCAAAATCATCATAATTCTAGAAGTTCGGGGACAGGGTTCATTACATCATTCTCTCTGCTTGAACCTTTTCATAACGAAGACTGAATTTAATGCATTAATGTCCTGCTTTGTATTTATCAAAGACTTCCAGAATGGAACACGGGCACTTCTGATCAACAACACAGCAGAGGACACTTTCCTAAGTTGGTGTCGTTCCTCCCAAAAGCCAAAGGCACTGGACATTTTGGTTGGCTTCATCCCAGAGACATTTCTTTCAGGTTCTCTGAAATAACTGAAGTGACTCTTCTCCCTCCACTACTGCCTTTAGCAATCCCCAGGTTGGGAAATATTAACTGGTCCAGCCATTTGAAGCTTGAAGTAATGTGAAACCCAACATGGGAACACTAAGTGAGCCTCAGTTTCTTCGTCTATAAAATGGGAGGCTTATAGTCACCAATTTGGAGACGGCTTCTAGTGCTGCCATTCCAGACTTGAGGCCCAGACATAGGGAGATGGAAAGACAGTGGATGAAAGCGGGGAGGGGAGCAGGGGCGAGGAAGGCTAGCAGTCCCCAAGAAGGGGCCTTTCTTGGCCAGGACTGGTTGTTCAGAAAAGCCCCTACCCACCACAGGCCCGTCACGCTCACCATCCCAAAGAAGCCAGGCCTGTCTTCAGGCACGTGAAGTTCTGGGTACACGTTCTCCAAGAACCACCTGAAGTCCTTACACTGGAGCTTTGCACGGAGCTGCTTCCTCTCTGTCACATCGCCAAAGGGCTCCTGAGGAAACAGCAAAAGCAGTGAGTCCCTGCAGGTTATGTGCTTCCCATCAAAGCCTTATCTCCACGGATACTCTCTTCCTCCACAGCATTTACTCAGCATCCACAGTGTGCTGGGCCCTGTACAGACCAGTGATAGCACCTGGCAGGAGAGCCCGTCACACAAACAACTGCATTCTCGGGTGCTCTCACTACAAGGAGGTGTGGCCAGGTGCACAAGGGAAGGTCCCAAAGCACCTGGTAATGAAGTCTGGGAGCCGAGTCCTGGGGCTGGACCCATGTATCTGCACCATCGAGGCGTGTATGATCACAGAGCAGCGAACATCCATAGAGTACACACACCCTGACGTTCTGAACTACTCCTGATTCCTGAAGCGTTCACTTTCAAACACAGAATATTCTCAATGTAGTCACGTGCATAGACCTTATGTGCTCAACAAACTGACATCTGCAGATATGCTTACAATGTTAAGTGCCAAGTGCTGTAGTGATAAATACTTGGGAAGTTTAGTTTTCTGGACAAAACAAGTGATTAAGAACTTCTAAATAATTGGGGCGCCTGAGTGGCTCAGTTGGTTAAGCTTCCAACTTCAGCTCAGGTCATGATCTCACCGTTCGTGAGTTCAAGACCCACATCAGGCTCTGTGCTGACAGCTCAGAGCCTGGAACCTATTTTGGATTCTGTGTCTCCTTCTCTTTCTGTCCCTCCCCTCTCCCACTCTGTGTCTCTCTCTCTCTCTCTAAAAAATAAATATACATTACAAAATTTTTTAAACTTCTAAATAATTAAATAAAGCAAGCATCTATTTAGCATAGCCACGAGAGCAATGTCGAGCGCTATTACTGCCCTTGCACTATGATGTTAAAGTAGTAAAATTTAACAGGCTAAATATGTAACAAAATGGTAACCACAGGAAAAAGTTTGAGCAAAATTTCAGATTTTTACTTAATTTCCCAGAGGGTCTTCTTTTGATAAGTCATTGTACCTCATCGTCAACCAAATATCCATTTTAACACTCAGCCATGGGCATACATACAAAAGGTATGTCATTCTCTGGGAACCTCGGAAAGAGAGAGCTGTGGGTGCCAGACTGGGTAACAGGAAGGAGCAAATGTTTCCACCCTGCAGTCTTGGGCAGGACAGAGGAACCAATGGCCATGGAGCCCAGAGGCAGAGAGGTGCCAAGGGGAAGGTCAGGGGCAGGTCCATAGGGCTCTGCAGAGCAGGGAGCAGGCTCCACACGCCCCAGGCTCAGTTCTGCCCACATCCCCCACAAGGCCTTAGACAAGCTCTCTGAGCTTCAGTTCTGGCATCTATAAAGTGGGAGTTGGGGTGCCTTAGTGGCTCAGTCAGTTGAGTGTCTGACTGTTCAGGTCATGATCTCGTAGTTCATGAGTTCGAGCCCCGTGTCAGGCTCTGTGCTGACAGCTCAGAGCCTGGAACCTGCTTCAGATTCTGTGTCTCCCTCTCTGGCCCTCCCCCATTCATACACTGTCTATCAAAAATAAACAAACATTTAAAAAAGTAATAATAAATAAAAAATGAGAATTTCATAGCTATCCTGAAGGGCTGTTGTAAGGATTCAGAAAAAGAGATGTTCATTTTCATTTTAGCGTGTGCTAGTGCAGAGTGGGCACCCAGTCCGGGGGCCCGCAGAGCCGGCCAGTGCAGACCAGTGGACCTCTTTGCTAAAGCTTATTTGTGACCCTAAAATAAATACCTGTGGCTTTGTACCACCACCGTCATCTGCAAACACGTCCAGAGAGAGGTGAAAAATCCGAGCCACCCCACCTGATGCTCCTAGCTGAGATCACGTCTCAGCTTGTCCACCCAGTGCCACTTTTTCAGGCTTTGCCGCATTGTGTCGGTGACCTCACTGTTTAAGAGGCCCCCAAGTGCGGTGCTGAGGGGCTGGCTAGTGTTCCTCGGGGCAAGAGGTTGTGTTGTGCCTGGGGGAGAGAGTGTGTGGCTTAGGCACGCATTACCGGGCTGTTGGCCATAAGTCCAAGGGAAAGAATCTTTCAAGAGAAATATACATAAAACCAAGTTATATATTGATCCATTGGTAAAAATGTCAACCTGCAAGAGGCCTGAAGGAAGCTAATGTGTATTTCCCCGAGAAGCCGAGGCCTCCGTAGTCTTGAATGCAGTGTTTGCAATGACAACACAGACCATAATTACTGTGAATAATGAGAATCAATATGAATGCATTATTATAAAAGCAGGAATAAAGTCTTCCCCTACTTGTATCTATTTCTGGAACCAGGTCCACGATGGTGGTTGGGGGGTAGAATAAGGGGCTCAGCTGGGGTGCAGGTGGGCGGGGGAACTCACCAAGCGGGCATGGGGGCTGCGATGGTAGTAGAGTTCTTTATATTCATCCATCCACACTTCAGCCGCTCGGACACTGTTGGCCAGAGCCTTACTGCGGGAGTAGGGAGCTTGCTTGGGGAAAACGTGGCCAACGTGAGAGCACGGGTGTGTCTCCAAGGTCCCACCGCACTGCCAGATCTGTGCACAGAGCAGGGAGGAGGCCAGGTGGGTGAGTGGCGGGAGGAGGGAAGGGAGAGCTGCTGGTCCACAGCGCCTGCAGCAAGGAGGCCGGGCACACAGACATCATGATGAACACTGCCGGGGCCTCACCCTCCATGGGATAGGAGGCCACCTCCCCTGCACATTCAGGACACAGACTGCAGTCAAGGAGCAAGAACACAGCCCCAAAGACAAATAAGCCTTCAGAAGCAAGATCCCAAAGTTCATGCACCAGAGCTCATGCACTTGACTCTCAGGAGCACCCATATCTGGCCTCACTGGGAACCCATTACTCATTATGTAGAACCCAGGCTCGTTACCTGATCTCCTAGCCACAGAAGATAGGAAAGCAGCAAGTAAGAAGAGAGGTTTGGAAGGGGGAAAGGAAGAACTTCTAGAGGGAGGCGGAGCAGCCTGACACCTGGGAAGAGGCAGAAAGACCATTAAAGCACATCCTTGACCTCAACGGGCTGACTTGTCTGAGACCGTCCCATGCTGGGGCAGAGGGCCATGAACACCCCACTGTCCCCAGGATCCACGACCAGGGGTAGTATCTGGTACTTAATCACGGCGGGTGTGAGTCCTCAGAGGAGGGCCAATTCTTATTAACTCTTTCTAAGCAGGACACCATATAAAATACTACAGAAATTCAAAATTTTCTATTAAAAAGTAGAGACGTTGGCATAAAATGTTGATACTTAAAGGACAGGATTCGGTTAACTGGAAAACCCACTGAAATGCTAGTGGCTTCTCAAAGGGGCCATCTGTGGGCCTTGATCAGCAGAATCAGGAAGTGGGCTTGTCCCAAAAAGCAGATTCCTGCCCTACCAAAAATCTACTGAACCTCACTTTTTGGAGACTATACCTATAAATGTGCCTTTTTAAACAAGTTCTTTGTTAAACGACACTCATATGTGGCAGAGTTTGAAAGTCACTGTGCTAAACAGGTTATTTCATAAGTAAACAAGCAAATCAAGGCTCCAAACGATGGGTGTGGGAAGAAAGGGCCTGGGGTTTAGCCCCGTCTCTGCCACTCACTGTGTGGGTGAACTTGAGCCAGTCACTTCCCCTCTCTGGGCCCCAGTTTCTCCCCGCTGTAGTGAGAGAAAAGTACTAGGTGACCTGCAAGGCCCTTCCCTGCCCCAGATCTATGAAAAGGACACTTTTGTAAAAGTTCAAACAAGAAGGCAAGCAGGTTTGCAGGATGTGAATGCTACTAGTATCATCTTTCAGGATCAGTAGATAAAAACCGCTAAAAACCGCAAGGTGGAGAAGTCCGCCAGGTTCTCCTGGCAAATCCCATCATTCCCAGACAGACAGAGAGGACAGGTGAAGGGTGAGTCCAAAGAGAAGACCGGAATACTTACCCTGAAGGAGAATTCGAGGTTTTCTCCGCCCCAAACTTCCATTCCTGTATCATAAGACCCCAGATATTCAAAATATTTCTTACTCACAGCAAACAGCCCTCCAGCCATTGTTGGAGACCTAGGAGAGTGTGACAACCATGTTGTAGTGTGAGTAGCAGGTAAACTGTCCACCGGCTGCCCAGCCGCCTCTGCGCTCTGTACCAAGACTTGCACCGGGCCCGGAGGCATAGATGTGCCCCACAGTCCCTGCCCTCGGGAGGCTCAGCAACATCTCAACAGGCAGCGCCTTGTGGGCACAGAGGGGAGATTCTGGGGCAGGTGCGTAGGGTTCAGTTTCCCAGAGGAAACGAGGCCCGAAGAACATGGAGGAGTTGGCAGAAGAGAGGAATGGAATGTTTCTCCCAGAAGATACCAGCATGAGCACAGGCCTGAGAGCGAGATAAAACCTTGCACCTCTAGAAGCACAGATGACACGGAGAGTTCAGGAGACACGCTCCCCAAGAGGATGGCTGGCGCTGGGCTGCAGTGGCCTTGGTCACACGGTCACAGGGAGCATAGAAGACCACAGGAGGCAACTCTTTCTTAAAGCTCCCCCGGGGCCCATTCCTCTCCTGCATGAGTGGCCTCCCTCCAGGACCCCGATGGCCAGTTTTGGCCTGCTTCTTCAGCCAGCCTTCTTTTCTGCCCAGCAGGTTCCTCTGGCTCTAGAAATGGCCCAAGCCTTCCCTCCTACCACAGCAGAAAGCTGAAAGGTCAACACACCAAGAGATGCAGGGGCCGAGGAATGTGTTCGGAAGTAGAAAGCTGTCCATCATCAAGAGTCTAACTGTTTAAAAATGTCAGTGCTTCTGGGCCTTGCCGAAGTGTTGGCTTTCCTGCATTCCAAGCTCTGGGCCAACAAGAAAAGGACAGGAAGATTCCCTATGGAAGGGAAGGCTCTAGACTACAAAGCACTTCCACGTGTTTCATCCTTAAATCTAGGGAATAGGCAGGGTAGATATGCTTGTACCTATTTCACAGGTGAGGAAACTGAGGCCCAGGGATATTAGAAGAAGGGAAGGGGAGCTGGCCATGACACCCCTGAGCACATGTGTGTGTGTGTTGGGTGGGGGGACCATGGGAGTTCATGTCAGTTTCCCAGGCTGGAGGTGTGACCCTGGATAAGATCCTTCCTACTCTGAACCTCAGTTTACAAATCTGTTTGGTGAAAGGTTGAGTAGGATGTCGCTCAGGACTCCTACAGAAGCCTGGGTGTCACCACAATCCCTGCCTTCCCCCTTCCCACTCAGTCTCTCTCAGTTCCTCCACCACAACATCTCTGGAATACTCCGTTTCCCTCCATCTTCTTCTGCACCAGCATTCCTGACTCGAAGATTATGATGCCTCCTAACAAGGTCCCTGCCCACGGCCCTGCCCCCTCCAGGCCCCTTGCCAACATGGCATCCAGCAATCTTTAAAGAATGCAACAGGCAAATGGTATTTCCAGCTCAAATCCCTTCAGTGGCTTCTACCCTCTCAGGGTAAAGTCCAAAGCCCCGTCTTTGGCCTTGCAGGCTGGACATGACTTGGCCTTGTTCATTTCTCTACCCCCATCTCTCGTTTTCTTTATTTATTTTTGAGAGAGAGAGAGAGCATAAGCAGGGGAGAGGCAGAGAGAGAGAGAATCCAAGCAGGCTCCACACTGACAGTGTGCCCCATGTGGGGCTCAAACTCATGACCTGAGGCAAAATCAAGAGTCAGACACTTGGGGCGCCTGGGTGGCTTAGTCGGTTAAGCGTCCGACTTTCGCTTAGGTCATGATCTCGCGGTTCGTGGGTTCGGGCCCCGCGTCGGGCTCTGTGCTGACTGCCAGCTCAGAGCCTGGAGCCTGTTTCAGTCTGTGACTCCCTCTCTCTCTGACCCTCCCCTGCTCACACTGTCTCTCTCTCTCTCTCCTAGAAATAAATAAAAACATTAAAAAAAAAAAAAAAATTTAAAAAAAAAGAGTCAGACACTTAGCCACCCAGGCACCCCTCTACCAACCATCTCTTAAGACTGTATTTCCCTAGGTATTTCCCTCTGTATTTCCATAGGTATTTCCCTCTGGCCAGTGGCTCATCTCAAGGCCTCACCCAAACATGGGTGCAGATCTAGGACACCATTTCCAGCTCAACACACCAGCAATAATGCTGATGTCTGACCTCCATCTGCCTGACTCCTATACCTACCCCCTATTTGGTCCTGAAATTGGAAGGGAAGGAAGAAGCCTCAAAGAATGAGAGCAACTAACTCCCCGCTGAACCCACTCTACTCAGACTCAGGCTCACCCACTGGCCAAAGGTGGCCCATTCACCCCAGGTCCACCTATCGCCCACTTGAAAAAGGACCTGACGGCATGTCCTCAAAATGTTAAGCATGAAACTATCATATGACCCACCAAGTGCGCTCCTGGGTGTGCACCTCAAAAACCTGAAAACAGGGACTCAAACAGGTAACGGTATATCAATATTCACAACTGCATTGTTCACAATAACCAAATGGTAGAAACAACCCGTGGCCATCAGCAGGTGAATGGATACATAAACATGGATGTCTGTACAGTAGAATATTGTTTTCAGCCATAAAAAGGAGTGGGTTCTGGAAGAACCTTGAAAACATTATGTGGAGTGAAGGAAGCCAGACACAAAAGGACAAATATTGTGTGATTCCACTTATATGAGCAATCTAGACTAGGGAAATTAATCGAGACAGAGAGTAGAATAGAAGGGACCAGGGCATTAAGAAGAACAGATAGGGGAGTCATTGCCCAATGGGTATAGAGTTTTCGTACGAGACAATGAAAAAGTTCTGAAAGTGAAGGTCACACAATATTGTGAAGGTGCTTGATACCATTGAACTGAACACTTAAAAAAATGGTTAAAGTGAGCAATTTTTTGTTATACATATTTTACCACAGTAAATAAAATAAGTAAATAAGTAAAATATACCAATATAAAATTATTGTGCATAGCAAGGATTTTTTAATAAAAATTTAAAAATGCTCGGGCACCTGGATGGCTCAGTCGGTTAAGCGTCCGACTTCAGCTCAGGTCATGATCTCACAGTTCATGAGTTCAGGCCCCATGTTGGGCTCTGTGCTGACAGCCTGGACCCTGCTTTGGATTCTGGGTCTCCCTCTCTGCCCCATCCCTGCTCGCACTTGGTCTTTCTTTCTGTCAAAAATAAAGATCTAAAAAATAAAATAAAATGAAGAAATGCTCTGGAGAAAGTGGGGGAACGAGCCCTCTCCAGGTACCCTCACTGACACGGTAAACAGAAGCAAGGAGGTGCAGAGAGCGAGTGGCCTAGAAGTGGGCCCCTAACCTGATGACATCAATGGGCGACCGCATCCGCATCCTCTCCCTCTCGGGAACCATGTGCCACATGAACACCAGCCTCCAGTCGAAGCCGCCGATCTGAGGCTCCCCGGCGTTGCCCAGGTACTCAAAGGTGTTCCAGTCAATCACATCGATCACAGGGCACACCACTGCGGACTCCTCTTCGTGGATCCTGAAAACACCGGGGGTGCCCCATGTGCCTCTCTGGGAGGCCAGGTGGCAGGGGGATTAGGGAATCTGGAGATGAACTCTCATCCTTCCACTAGGTGGGAGGAGAGCTGTGTGAGAAAGGCCTGCGTCTGACGCTGCAGGGGTCTGCAGCCACATCGGGACCTGAGGGTGATCCTCACAGGGAATGCCCAGGTGGCGGGGGAGACCCAGGAAGGAAGGATTCTGGACTGAATAGGAGAAGTCCCCCAGCTTCGATATTCGGATTCCACCTATAGACATTCTGGACAAATCTGAGTCCTTCCATGAAAGTCAAGACATGTGAAAACCACAGGCCACTTTTAAGACAGAAAGTAGATTTTTCGGGGCGCCTGGGTGGCTTAGTCGGTTAAGCGTCCAACTTTCGCTTAGGTCATGATCTCGCGGTTCATGGGTTCCAGCCCCGCGTCGGGCTCTGTGCTGACTGCCAGCTCAGAGCCTGGAGCCTGTTTCAGAGTTTGTGACTCCCTCTCTCTCTGACCCTCCCCTGCTCACGCTGTGTGTCTCTCTCTCTCTGAAATAAATAAAAAATAAAAAAATAAAAAATAAATAAAAAGAAAGTAGATTTTTCAACTTCTAAAGACCGCGAAGAGGTTTCCTCGTTTAATCACAAGGAAATGTCTTAACGTCAAGAACAAATTATCCCCCTAAAAAACAGAGATGCGCCCAGACCAAAGGATCAGCTTTGGAGTTAGAATAAAAATGCAAAGCCTGCCCCCTCATTTGCTGTGTGACATTAGCCAAATCACCCAACCTCTCAGAACCTGTCACCTGTGAGTGACACTGGAATGATAATATCTACTCACAGGGTTAATATGAGGACTCCCTGAGGGAATGTTTATAAGGAGGCAGGCAGAGAACGTGGGGTCTACTGCTCATCCCTCCGTGTGATCTTTAATACTATGAAGCGTAGAGAAAAGGGCTGCAGACATCAGCCCATGGGTCTCCTTTGGCTACTCTATCTGCAACATCCTCCACCATGCTGCCATACTGTGTGCCAGGTTTTGCACTTGACAGTGCCCCAGAGAAGATGAACTGGGGCTGGCCTGTGTGTGATTTCCCTGGGTTACGCTCTGGGGGCTTCTATCTGGAATTTGATACCTAAGAAAGCATCAGTCACACAGAGCAATGATGTGAAGACACAGCGATCGACCAGACTTGAGTTGTAAGTGTCCTTAGAATAATCCCAGAGAGTCAGATGGGGCAATGTGAATATCACGTGTAGGGAAGAATTACAATATTAAGTGAAATTGCACAGTTCAGGATAGACTGTATGAATAAAACCTATGAATTCACTAAGTTGAGCAAGATGCAGAGTGGGTACCTACCAACCTCCCATTCTGTTTTGTTTTGTTTTTTTAATTTTTAAATGTTAATTTAATTTTGATGCGGGCAGGGAGTGAAAGACCGAGAAAGAGGGAGACAGTGGATCCAAAGTGGGCTCTGCACTGAGAGGGGAGAACCCAACGCGGCCTGAACTCACAAACCGTGAGATCACGACCTGAGGCCAAAGTCATACACTTAACCGACTGGGCCACCCAGGTGCCCCCCAGTTCTTTAAATAAACTGAGGGCACTCTTAAAAGGTTTGAGAGGGCCAGTGGCAGACCTGCTGGGCAGGTTCAAAGAGGCTTCTTAGCCCCTGGCAGGGACCAGAACTTGTGACTTGCAATTAAGCTGGTTGGGAGGCCTCATTTTTTAAAGAAAAGGAAAATTGAGGGAGCCCGCATTAGAATAAAGGACCCTGAACCACACTTACAAAGTGTGCAGGCGCAGTAACAGCATCCCCGTGGGTGGGGGCGGGGGCAGGCATGCTACTGGCATCTTGGCCAGAACCGGTCTTTGTTGTCCACGGCGGAACTGTCCACTGTGGGACGTCTGGCATCCCTAGTCCTCGGTTCATAAAACGCCAGGAGCACCACCCACCTGACTTGAAAACCAAAGAAGATCTATTTCCAAAAGGCCCTGGAGGAACAGGGGTTATTGCTCCTGTTGGACTGTCTGAGGGACAGGGAGGGCTCCTGTTTGGGACAATCTGAGAGACCAGTGTGTGTCAACTCTGGTGCACGCCTAGGTCTCTGGGGAGCTTCTGAAACGTCCAGAAGCCTGGGATCATCTCCAGAGATTCAGATCCAAATGGCTGGCCATGAGACTGGAGTTGGTATGTTTTTTTTTTTTTAATTTTTTATATGTTTATTTATTTTTTAAGAGAGAGACAGTGTGAGCAGGGAAGGGGCAGAGAGAGAGAGAGGGAGACACATAATCCGAAGCTGGCTCCAGGCTCTGAGCTGTCAGCCCAGAGCCTGACACGGGGCTTGAACTCACGGGCCACTAGACCCTGACCTGAGCCGAAGTTGGATGCTTAATTGAATGGGACACCCAGGCGCCCCAGGAGTTGGTATGTTTTGCAAGTTCCCCAGATGGGGTTCTCTGGGCAGCCAGGTGGAGAACCCTTTTGTCTGGGGTTATGGAACAAGGACTTGTCTATGGGGAGGGCTGCCTCGCTGGCCTCCAGAGGAGGGGCTGGAGTGGAGTGCTCGGTGGTATTAGTGCATCAGTGGACCTCAGACCGGCCTAGAGGCTGCCATCTGTGTGCACGCTGGGGAAGGGGCGAAGGGCAAACCCGCTGGCCCAGCTTCTGGAGGGAACCTTGAGCAGTCACCATGTTCTAAATAACTTCAGACTCTATCACAGGCTGAGGAACCCTGGGTCCCTGCTGCCGGTAAAGCTCATCAGAGCTGAGGAGGAGAAGGAGGCAGCCGTGGGACCCACAGGGGACAGGACGTCAGACAGCAGAAGTAGCAGAGCAGGGGACAGACTGGTCTCACACAGCAAGGGAGGCCAGTGGGTCCCCAGATCTTCCAGACAGACTGTGGCAACCAAAGTGCTAGAGGCCATGGGAAAGCAGTTTGCCAACTGCAGAGTCTCTGACCCTCTGACCCTTCACCTGCTCCATGGGAAGGGACCAAACGAAGACCCCCCTACCTTGAACCTTCCTCCCCCACTTGGAGAGCTTTGACTTTGCCAGCCCAGCTCCTGCCTGCTGTGATGAAGAATCAGAAGAGAGAGAGAGAGAGACGGAGGGGAGGGGAGGGAAGGGGGGGGAGGGGAGAGGAGAAGAGAGAGGAGAGGAGAGGAGAGGAGAGGAGAGGAGAGGAGAGGAGAGGAGAGGAGAGGAGGGGAGAGGAGAGGAGAGGGGGCTCAGGGCAGTAGATTTGGAGGACAGGCAGATTGGGAAGGTTAGGGTATGAGGCTGTGGGACAGCAGGAGACATGCCTTTAAAGACAGGGCTGTGTTACGACTTTTCATGGCTTCATAAAAAATAACAGGGGTGTCTGGGTGGCTCAGTTGGTTAAGCATCCAATTCTCAATTTCGGCTCAGGGCATGATCTCACTATTCGTGGGTCCGAGCCCCACGTCAGGCTCTGCACTGACAGCATGGAGCCTGTTTGGGAATCTGCCTTTCTCTCTCTCAAAAATACATAAAAATTTAAAAAATTTAAAAACCATATATTTAAAGCTATGCTTTATGACTATACGGTAGAAGGACAAACCACAATCCAGGCTAAATCCATTATTATGATGTTCATTTTTTTTTCCTTCGGATTTAAAATAATTAACATAAAAACGTTTTTGTGGGTCTGTTAAAAATGGCATGGGGGGGCGGCGCCTGAGTGGCTCAGTGGGTTAAGCATCAGACTTTGGCTCAGGTCATGATCTCATGGTTTGTGGGTTCGAGCCCTGCGTTGGGCTCTGTGCTGACAGCTAGCTCAGAGCCTGTAACCTGCTTCAGATTCTGTGTCTCCCTCTCTCTCTGACCTTCCCCTGCTCATGCTCTCTCTCTCTCTCTCTGTCTCTCAGAAAGAAATAAAAAAAAAAATTAAAAAAAATGGCATGGGACCTAAGCATTGTAGGTACTGGGTATAATGGATGGGAAGACAGCCTTGCTTGAAGGAAATACACCAAAACGTATATTCTTCAGCATGCGATTCTATATGATCGATTGTTTTTCCTTGGTTGATCATGCTTCCTAAGTACTGTATATAATAAGCAGCAATAAAAGTAAACTCTAACAAGGCCTCATCCATGCCAGCACGTTCTAAGGACTCAATGTGTAGTAATTCATTTAGAGGCCTCCACAGCCCTGTGGGACACAGACTGTTGTCATGCCCAGTGACAGACGGCTCGCGCCAGGGGCGTGTGAACCCAGGCGCCAAGGTAAGAAATTTGGTGCTGCGTCTGCACCGCACGCCCGCCGCCCCCCTCCCCCCCCGCCCCCCGCACGCTCACGCACCTCTCCAGCAGCGGCTCAAGCCACCCTTCGTGGCACTCACAGTGGCAGTCCAGGAAGGTCAGCACCTCGCCCTTTGCCGCGGAAGCGCCCAGAAGCCGCGCTCGCACCAGGCCCTCCCTCTTGTTGGCGCGGATCAGACGCACCTTGGGCAGCCCAGACAGCTCGTTGGCCAGGCGCTCCTTCAGGTGCTCTGCGGAGGCAAGCGAGACAAGCGGGGTCACCGTCACACATGCCCAGCCGTGTCCTTCCAGACCCTCCCTAGCCCCAAGTGACAACGGAATTGACAGAAGCCTCCTTTGCGCTGCACCTACCTGGGATGGCCTCACCTCACCGGAACCAAGGCTGGATGCTGGATGCGCATGACGAAGGTGGGGGAGGGGGAGGGGGGGAGGGGGCAGGGGGCGGTGCTGGGGCAGAGGGATTCCAGAACCACCGAGGGCTCCCATCAAAACACATGCACATTGAGTTGTGCGCTTGAAATGGGGGCATGTGGGTGTGTCTCAATAAAGCTGTCACCCCCTCAAAAGTATGTATGTTCACCTTGACTGGTGAACATTTAAAAATAAAACACACAAAAACTGCCCAACCACAATTTTTCAGAAAAACTAGGTTAATATAAGCTTGCTCTATTTATATTAACTAATTATGTAACACGTTATCACATTTTAATTTATGTGGGATTATGTTAATAAACTGTATTTATATTTATGTTAACCCAAATTTTCTCTGGAGCACATTTCATTTGATACAGTAATAGTAATAATAATAATGGCAAATACCACTAGAGGGCGAACTGTATGAAGCACCGTCCAGGTGATTTATATGAACTCATGACAGTCTTCTAACTTGCCCATGAGGTAGGTACTACAACTATCCCCATTGATAGATGAGAACACTGAGGCCAGAGAGGCTATGTGTCAAGATCCCAGAATAAGTGAGCTAAGGAGTCAGGATTTTAACCCAGCAGCCCTGGCTTGAATCCATAGACTTAATACTGCCTCCCAGAGCTTTCCTGCACAATCTCTCAGCCTTGCTAAACAAATGCAAAATTTGTCAGGAGGACATTTTGCATAAGAAGAAATGAGGCTTTAAAAGTTGAAAGGTCGTGCCCACAGCCCGGGCTAGCCTGATTCCAGACTCAACACAGGTTCTAGGACAGAAGGCCCTGATTCCCCCCCCCCCCCCCCGCCCACCCATGGGTCAGGTGGAGGTGGAGGGAGACCATCAGGCAAAATTAAAATTTTTTTTAATTCCCTAGAATTCCCCCTAATCATCGTGGGCTTTGTTTGAACGTCCTCAATCATTGGCAAAAGAGAAAAGTCTGTAAACTGTTCTAGGTTGCTTCAGTTGGTAAAAATGTTCCCCTAAATATCCTTGACATTAAAAAAATGTCATTGATTTTTTTTTCATCCTAAATATAATTGCAAGTAAACTGATAGCAGGAATAAAGGAGGTGACTTCCCAAGCAAAGCAAATTAGTGGTGGCTCTGCCCAGGAAACACACGCGTGGAAAAAAAGAAAAGGAAAAAAAGAAAATGCACGTGTAGCATCCTTGCACTCTATGGATTTGGTCAGCATCCATTCTATGTCTGTCTGAGCTGCCTTCCCATGCCTGGGGAGGGTGGGCGCCCTGGCATGGAGCTAAGACTGGTGTGTGGAAAGGCCAGGGGTTGGGGGACAGGGCACAACTCCTGTCATCAGGGCTTGAGCAGGATTCCAGCCCATGGCGCAGGTCACCATGATGGATAGGGTAGCCTTGGCCCCACGGCACCTCACATTGACACTCACGAGAAGAAATGAGCTACGCAGGGAGGGGTTCATACCCTGATTCCTGCTGAGGAGCTATTCAATCCCATGAAGATCAAATAAATAATCTGCTCTTTGCTTCTGAATGAATACATTTCTGAAATATTTGGGGCACTGTACAGTTTTTTAATATTTCATAAAAGTACAAGTATGACAATATGCCAGGCACTGACCTAACATGTTACCTGCCTTTATGTCATTTAATCCTCACTGTGACCCTACAAGCTAGGGACTAGTATCCCACTTTACAGGGGCTGAAGCCAAGGTTGACACTGGACTCGCTCTAGGTTGCGTACCTGCAAAGTGCTGGAGCTCAGGCCAGTGCTGACACAGATTTAAAAGAGCCCTGGGAGGAGAGGACCAAAGGAAGGGGAGATGAGTACCTACTATGTGCTGGCTGACATGAGATTCCATGCTATGCATGATCTCATTTGTTCCTCACCACTCTCTGATGTAAGGGTGGACAAACCCATTCACAGATGAGAAACTGAGGCTCAGAAAAGACAAGTGATTTGGCTCAGATGCCACAACAGGTTCACGGTAAAGCTCACCCCTGACCCAGGTGCCTTGAGCCCAGAGCTCAGTGCCTAGTGGGCCTCATGCAGCATCAAGCCCCAGTCTGGCTTGTGTGCTGTCGTGGAGAATGCCAACTGTTGCCACTTGCCCACCATGGAAGCCACAGTTCGAGCTTCTCTTGCAGCTAGGTGTGGCCAAGTGACCCTGTTCTGCTCCATGGGACATGAGGCCAACTTCCGGGTTGGGCTCCGCAGCCCCATGAGACCCTTCTACCAATGACAGCGCACAGAAGGTGAAGAGCCAGCCAGGGGGGCGCCGACTGGGGCAGCAGAATGTCCTAGAGAATGTGGAGATACAGGGCAGAAGGAGCCGGGGCCCTACCACTGTGAAGCCGCCACACCAGCCCTAGACCATTACGCAAGCTTTGTGATGTGAGAGAGATGGGTTTTTATCCCGTGTACATCACTGGTGTAGAGTCCCTGTGAGAACAGCCAAACACATCCACCAGTTAGGACACATGCTCGAGGCTCTGAAGTCGAGGCAGAGCCTGAAGCAGCAGATGCCCATGAAGTAGTAGCTGCTACCCTCCTGCGTGGCCCCAGGATAGTAATTTGGCTTGAGACGAACAACTCAGCCCCCGGCTCTCCGCAATGCTATGACCCTGACATTTCCCTTCAGTGGAGCTTAGCAGTCTCACTTCAGCTAGTCACGTGGCATGTGGCATGACCACAGCAGCCCCTACACCCCCCTCCCATCCATTGGCCATGCCCCACATGGCAGCACAGTGAGCCCAAGACTGAGCAACCTCCCTGTCTTCCCAGCAGCCCTCAGTCGGCTCCCACCAGGCTCATATTTAAGCCTAAACCCCCTTATGGGAGCCTCCTGGTCTGGCCTCACCCACCCTGCAACCTCATCTCCTGCGTCACCTCCCTACAGGCCAACGGTCTGCCCTGCAGAATGCCTGCTCGCCCCAGCTTCTTCCTGCACCTGGGGCCGCGGGGCTGCCTCCTTCTCTACATCCTAGCATTTGCTTAAAACCACTTCCTCAGGGAGGCTTCCTGCCCTCCCCCAGGCCAGAGGAGGGCCCATCCCCAAGCTCCCCTTGCTGTCCTGCTCCGACTTTTATTTCACAGCACTTCGTACCCTGCTGTATTCCACCTGCTATATCACTGTATTAAGGTATGCTATTTTATATTGTGTTGTGTCATGCTGCATTATTCTTCACGTGTTCGTTGACCATCTCCACCCACATCTCCACCTGCCAGAATGTGAGTTTTACGAGAGCAGGGACTTGTCTTGTTTCCCACAGAATCCCCCGTGCCTGGAACGGTGCCTGGCACAAAGGTGGAAGCTCAGAACATGGTCACTGAATAAATAAAGGGCCAACTCTGGACTGCATGAGAATTGCCGGACCTCAAGTCACCGGCCAGGCCTGTAGGGATGCCAATCAGCCTCTCCCTGGATTCAGTTCTTCTGTCTGGGCTGCCCCATTTTGATCTCATCTCAAATTCAACACATCTAAAGCCAAACACCTCCCCCACTTCCTCTCCCAGACTTGTCACTCCTGCCCTGGGTGGCTTTTCTAGCTCTGGGATGGCACCACCATTCACCCAGACACCCACACCGGAAGCCTGAAGGTCTTCCAGATGCCATCTCTCAAACATCCCTCCTCTCCTCCCCTTCCCTCTACTACCACCGGACTCTAAGTCTCCATCTCTCACCTGGGCCGCCTCTACAGCCCCTGGTCTCCCTGCGGAGCTCCCCTGTACACCATTCTCCACCCACAGGTATCTCCAGCCTAGAGGGACCCCACAAAGGGCAAAGCTGCTCTTCCGTTTAAAATCCTACCCTAGGGGCGCCCAGGTGGCTCAGTCAGTTAAACATCTGACTCTTGGTTTTGGCTCTGGTCATGATCTCACTGTTTGTGAGCTCAAGCCCCATGTCGGGCTCTGTGCTGACAGTGTGGAGCCTGCTTAGGATTTCTCTCTCCCTCTCTCTCTGCCCCTCCCCAGCTTGCTCTCTCTCTGTCTCAAAAATAAATAAATACATAAATAAATAAAATTTTTAAAAATCTTGCCTTTGTTCTCCTTGCCTTCAGGACAAAGTCCCAACTCCTCAGCCTCAGGTGTAACGCCTGCCCCCTTCCCCACATCTCATACTTCTCCTCCGCCTGCTGGTCTTCCATCCTTCCTGAACTACCTGCAATCCCTGCAACACTGGGCCCCCGAGGCTTTCCACATTCTGTGCCTCTGCTTAAAACACCCTCCCTCAGGGGCGCCTGGGTGGCTTAGTCGGTTAAGCGTCCGACTTTCACTTAGGTCATGATCTCACGGTTTGTGGGTTCGAGCCCCACGTCGGGCTCTGTGCTGACTGCCAGCTCAGAGCCTGGAGCCTGTTTCAGGGTCTGTGTCTCCCTCTCTCTGACCCTCCCGTGCTCACACTGTCTCTCTCTCTCTCTCTCTCCTAGAAATAAATAAAAATATTTAAAACAAACAAACAAACAAACAAACACCCTCCCTCCACCTCTGCTGCCCACAATCGACTTCAAGACTAAGGTCAGCCACTCTTCCTGAGTGCTCTGTCTCCTGTAGCTCCATGTGACAGAGCTCTCTGTCCGCACACCTGCATCCCAGCAGCTCCAAGCTCCCTGAGGGCCAGGGCCAGGCCCACGGGGACACAGAAAGCCCGTCCTCCCTGGACCCATTCCACCCCCCCTAAGTCGCACTTTTGCCCCCCAGGCACTGCCCCGGGAATCCAGACACCCTCCTAAGAGCCCATGCGGAGGGCTTACCTCTGTCACTGTAGTCATCTACAAGGATGACTTCCTCCAGCAGCATGTCCGGGGACGTCTCGAGGACACTGTACACTGTCCGGAGGAGAGTTGACCAGGCCTCATTATAAAATGCTATGACAACAGATGTTGTGGGCAAGCTGTCATAATCATACTTCTTCTCTTTGCACCTGCAAACACAACACGGCTTCAGGAATCGAGAACCTGCTGCTGACTGTGTGTACCAGGCCCAGGCTGGTCCTAGGGACGGAGGTGTGAAGGGGACACAGGTCCCAGTCTCAAGGCCTCCTCCTGGGGAGTGTAAAACAATCTGCTGGGATCTTTCAGAGACCCCAGGGTTCCACTAGGAGTGCCAGCAGATTCTAAGAAAAGTTCTAAAACTACAACCCATAAGCTTGAATGGTGGGCAACTGTTTTCAGGCTTTAAAGCAATTTTCAGATTTGAGCAACATACCAGCTAAGCAGACCTAGAAGGGAGGAAGGTGGCCACCTCTCCCTCCTTAGTGCCTCTCTTGTGGTCTGCTCCCTTGCGATCCCACTGCCAGGCCTGTGCTCAGGCCATGCCCTCTGCCCAGAACGCCCCTTCCTCATTTCTCTACCTGGCAAGCTCTCCGTCCTCTTTCGAGAACAGCTGGGCCCCACGCTCTCCCTGGGACAGCCTGTGTGGGCAGCTGCTCGCTCCTGGATGCTCCTCGGCACCCTGCCTGTTTCAGCAGGTGTCAGTCACAGCGCTCCGGCTGCTCACTGGAGTCTCAGTGCCCTCTCCAGCACGTCACCCCGGCAGCAGCGACGCATACAAAGGTGGTGTGTGGAAACCAGAGCCACTGCCAGGCCGGGCGAACCATCCTGGAGGGCCCTGTAGCGGACACTGACCACCCCATTCCAGTACCCACACCGCCCCTTGCTTGGCTCTGGACTCCCGGTGAGGGTGGGGCATATGCCTTGACTGTCAGGGGTCCGAACCTATAAGCTTCCCCTTTCTTTAGTAGGGTTTCCAGTTATTTTATAAGGAAGTTTCCCTAGTTGACAGAATTCTCTTAGAGTGGCTCATGACAAACTCCCCATGTCATCCCTGGGACTGGACCGTGCCTGGAGGTCTTCAGTAGGGAATGGCAAGAGAGAGGGAGGAACAGAACTCTGAGGGGCACCCACAGGACCGGGGCTGGAATGCGGGGCTAGTGGTGCAAGAAGAGCGTATGTGCTGAAGACCAGCCAGGCGGCTTGGGCAGAAAGGGAAGGAAGGCTTCACAGCTGGCTGCAGGCATGTCAAAGAGATGCAGACCCAAGCAGGATACGAGTGATGCTAGATCTGCTGACTGCAGGGTACCAGGCAATGCATCAGCGGACCCTTACCAGTCAGTCATCAAATAACTCCTGACCACCTACTATGTGGATTTAAAAAAACAAAAAACAAAAAGCCACCCTGCTTACATTCAAGGGGACAATGATCAAGTAAGCAAACATATCAGTATTTCAGGAAGTAATGGTGCTATAAAAAGCATGATGTGAAACTGAGCAACTGTGTTAGGGAATGGGAAGAGGGAAAGGGGGCAACCATAGAACAGGAAATCAGGGAGGGCCTCTTAGAGGAGGTGACATTGAGGGAAAGACCCAAATATTGAGGGAACCCATCTCACAAAAAAGCATAGAAAAAAAGCCCTTTATGTATCCACTTTATTTCTTTTGGTTTTTCTCCTTTTGTTTCAGTATGAGAATTTTCAAACATTATAAGGAACTCCTCAGACCTTTCACCCAACATCAACAATTCTCAATGCATGGTCTATCTTGATTCATCTATGCCCTCACCAGAATAGTTTGTGTGAGTGTGTGTGTGTGTGTGTGTGTGTGTGTGTGTTTGTGTGTGTGTGTGTGTGTGTGTGTTTTAGAGAAAGAATCTCAGGCAGGCTCCACACTCAGCGATCCCTGTGAGGTCATGACCTGAGCCGAGATCAAGAGTCAGACACATTACCGACCAAGCCACCAAGGCGCCCCGTCCCAGACTAGTTTAAAGCAAAACTCAGAATATCACAGCATCCATAAATATTTCAATATATCTAAGATATAAGGACTCCTTTTTTTCATAATAAAACACAATACAGCTGAAACTTCTTAAAAAGTTATCAATTCCTTACTGCTATCATATCTCCAGTCTGCAATATTTCATAAAAATTAAAGGCACCAATGTTTGGAAAACACACCTTTCTTTTAAGAATCTCTAAGAAGGCCAAGTGTTGCCTATTGTAACTGTACACTGACTTTAAGATGTATTCAAATCTCAGAAGTGCTCCAATATGAAAAAAAAAAAAAAGACCTTAAATTAATGAAATGTCCTACTTCATTTAACTCTCAAAACCACTTTCAGTGTTGGCATTTATTGTTCCCATTTGGAAGCCCAGGCTCAGAGAAGAGGAAAAACTTGGGCAGTTCACAGAATGCCTGTGAGTGTGAACGTGGCTGAGGCCCTGGTGTCCAGAGACTTTGTCGTGGGGCTGTGACGCTCGGGTGGGCCACGTGGTCTAACAAAGATCCCTACCCCGTATCGCCCTGCCTCGCCCTTCTTCCTACCTCTCCCCTCTCCCAGGGTCTTGCTCCAGGCCCTCTTCCTAAACTCCAGGGCAGTCTCTGCAGAGAGCTCTGCTGTCGCTGGGAGGACTCTCCCACACGAACAGGCTTATCTGGGAGACTCTGTTAGAGGCTGGCTCTTCTCAACCACCTCTACATCCTCATTCCTGCTGCGTTTGCAGGCCCTGTTCTAGACACTTGAGTTGAAGTCAGCCGAGGCTGGAAGCCTAACAGCTCTGGTGTCCTAACGCGACAATAGGGCATCCCCAGCAGCCCAAGCGGCAGGACCCAAGTCCTTGGACACCAAAGGCTTCCACTTCGCAGAAGTGGTTACTACTGTACTCCACAGAGGGGAGTCCAACCCATATCCCAGGGGAGGGGACGTAGTCTCCGTCCTTTGTAGGGGAGGATTGCACAGAACTTGTGGACATATTTGAAAACCACCATGCGGGGAAAGAATGCAGCAGAAGGGTGACAGTCCGTGTCTTCCACCACCAGGCCTTAAGACACTGAGGTTTCCTCTTCGTTCCCACCCACGGACCATCCATCCTGGGGAAAGCGAGCCCCATGCAGTGAAGCGGGTAGACTCAAGCATCCCATGGAGAGCCTCTGTGGCGAGGGACTGAGGCCTCCAGCCAGCAGCCAGTCCCAGCCTTCCAGCATGGGATAAGCCCTCTGGAAAGTAGATCCTCCAGCCCCAATCAGGCCTTGAGATGATGAAATCCCCAGGCAGCATTTTGACTGCGACTTCATGGGAGATCCAGAGCCAGAACCACCCAGCCAAGCCACTCCCGAATTCCTGACCCACACAGATTATGTGAAATCACAAATGTTTATTGTTGTTTCAAGTCACTAAGTTTATGGTACTGCCTATGCTGCAATAAATCACAAGGAAACTTTCAGCCAAGCCCACGCGGAGAGATGTTTTATAAACCAATAGGCCTGTACTTTTAAAAAAATGACAGTGTCCTAAGAGACAGAGACAGGGCTAAAGAGACACAACAACTAAATGTCACCCTTGATTCTCAATTAGATACCAGATCCAGTAAAAATAAAGCTGCTCCGAAAGTTGGCACAATTGGAAAAAATCCAGGATTGTATAAACTTTCTTAATTTGAGAACTACATCGTATCACAAGAGATTGTCCCTGTCCTTAGAAAATGCATGCCAAAGGAACAAAGGATAAAGGGTTATTATTGCTAAAACTTACTCTCAAATGCGTATAATAGTATATAGCACACACATAGAGAAAAATTAAGTAAATGGGGCAAAATAATGAATGGATCTAGGTGAAGGATGCATAAGAGTCTCTTCTGCTATTCTTACAAATAATCTCTAGCTTTGAATTTTTCAAAATTAAAAGCATAATAAATTAAGAGGAGAAAGAGGGCCCCTAAGTGGCTCAGCTGGTTAAGCATCTAACTCTTGATTTCAGCTCAGGTCATGACCTCACAGATGGGATCAAGCCCCATGTTAGGCTCTGTGCTGACAGCGTGAAGCCTGCTTGAGATTCTCCCGCTCCCTCTCTCTCTCTGCCCTTACCCCAACTGTCTCTCTTTTTCAAAAATAAATAAACTTAAAAAAAAGAAGAAAAAACGTCAGTGTTGCAAAGGGTATATCCAAGTGCTAAGCTGATTCTGATTCTAAAAATATGTATCCCAAGCTTAGTGGCCCTGACAAAGGCCTCTCCCCCTTCCGCCAAAAGAGCTGCCCTCCTGCAATATATGTTATAACAAACGGACAACATATATATGTATATAAAATATTAATAGGTGATCTGCATTTTAAAAGCCCCTGACTAATAGACAAGGCACATGGAGAAGCTATGCTGGGCTGAGCCACAGCCCACTGGAAGCTTCAGAAAGAATTAACTGCTTATACTCCATGAAAAAAAAATGTGTTTCCGTCCAGCCTAAAAATAAAGACTTATCAAAAAAAAAAAAAAAAAAGCTAAAATGTAGTTCCAAATGTACATAGGTTTGAGGAGAAATGAATGGAAAGTAGGATGGAAAAGTTAAGTTTTCAAAAATAAAGTTTATTTAATGTAAACAATGGTCCCTTAGTATAAAATCACATCCTTGCTGTTTGGTGTTAAAATGTCTTTCTTCCCACGATGAGAATAAGTGGGGGGGGAGGGGGTAGAAAAACCTCTGCTTGACTGCATAATGCTGGGACCAGATGTCAGTCCCTCCTCGGTGTTTTGTTTATGTGTTTCCGCTGCTCTGTGAAACCCCAAAGCCCAAGGCCATTGTTCTAGAATGTCCAGGTATGCTATTTGTGTCCCTTTAAATCACAAGAGCACTGGATACCTGTTTGGCAATAATACTCAGAGCTTCAAATGTTCCTCTTCTCTTTAATGTCCTGTCATAATACATCTAAGAATTTCTCACCTAAGAAAATAATCAGGGATACCCGGAGGGAAGCTTGTAGTTACCATTATTCTCTGTAACATTATTTATAATAGCAAAAAGCTGTAAACAATTCCAAAGGTCCAACAAGAAAACGTGAAATGTAGTGCAGTTGCGTGAAGGATTGCTACAAAGACCATCCAAAACCACATTTTCAGAGACTATCTAACAGTACACGAGAATAACCACACCATCACATT